AAATAGAAAAAAAGAAAGACAAAATAGTGGTTCAACATAAATCCTCGCGTGGGTTCCATTATGTGAGGTTATGGGTTTCCTCTACATCTCATCACCTGAAAGGCTAACAGCTATAAGCACACAACAGAGTGAGAAATATTATGCCAAGAGTATATAGAATACAAAATAAAATCATTTAAGTGGTAGAAATTGAAATACATAAATTATGTAAATAAATAATCATAACCACAGTACAGAACAGAACAGAACAGAGGTCAATGGATTCATGACAAACAGAGGACCACAAAGTGGTCAAACAGAGGCCAATGGTTATTTAAGTTCCACAAGGCATGGGACTCCCGTGGTGGTACTTACAAAACATAAATGTTTATAAGATCATTGTCAAATACTTTCTAAAATTTAAACAACCATATCCATGGGTTTTATTTTAAACAAAAAGAGTTTAGAAAATAACCCACGTAACTGAAATATTAATATAATTTATAAAAAGTAACTTGTATTAATGTAACTCATAAAATATAACTTGTATAAAATAAATTATTGTAAGTCAAAACATACATAAAATATATTATGGTGACTCAAGGTATAATATAACTCACTTTAATATTGACTCTTAGTCTTTTCTATTTTTTCTTTTTTCTTTTTTCTTTTATGCTGCTTCTGAGGCTCCTTCTTTTCTTCTCCCATTTTTTCCCCCTCTTTGATGACCCTAACTTCACAGCACCCCCCCTTCCTATTTATACACATGGCTGGTTGGTGATGACTCACCCGTTCATGATGGCCGTACATGATGAATGACTCCCCTACCAAGCCTAGATGTATAGATGGCCCTATTTCATTTCTTTAGTAATATTTGTAAATATTTGCAAATCTATTCATTAATTGATGCTTAATTACGTGGAAATTATTTATTATATTTGTTTTGTTTTGTTTTATTTTACTTTTATTTCTTTATTTATTATTTTTGACTTTAATTTGGCCCAATTAGTATTATAATTCCATATTTGTGTTAATTTGACCCCAAATAATAATCCCTAATTAAACCCATATTTGATAACCCAATGCCAAATTAGATTCTGTATTTATTATTATTTATTTAATAATATATTATCACATACACCCACAATTATATATAGCTATACATATTTATGTGATATTTAATTAAACACTTTAGGTGTTACATTTCGCCCCTCCTAAAAGGAAGTTTGTCCCCAAACTTGACGTACCTTAACTTTCGAAGAGGTGTGGGTATTTGGTTCGCATTTGACTTTTTGTTTCTCACGTAGCTTCTTCGATATGATGATTTCGCCATAAGACTTTTACCGACGGTATGGTCTTGTTTTGGAGAACTTGATCACGACGATCGAAAATCTGCACTGGTTGCTCTTCATAAGAGAGATCCTCCTGAACTTCTAGATCCTCACAATCAACAACGTGCTCTGGATCTCGAAGGTACCGCCGAAGCATTGAAACGTTAAACACATTGTGGACATTAGATAGTTCAGGTGGTAGTGCAAGGCGATAGGCTACAGGACCAATCCTTTCCAGTATCTCGAATGGCCCGATATAACGTGGGTTTAGCTTTCCTCGCTTTCCAAATCGGATAACTCCGCTTGTTGGTGAGATCTTGAGGAACACATGATCCCCTATTTGAAATTCCAAGTCTCGTTTCCGTATATCTTCATAACTTTTTTGGCAGCTCTAAGCAGTGCGAATTCATTGTTGGATGAGTTGGATTTTCTCACTTGTGACTTGCACGATCTCGGGGCCTAACAGTTTTCTATCTCTGACTTCTGCCCAACACAGAGGTGATCGACACCTTTTTCCATACAGAGCTTCATACGGTGCCATTCCAATGCTTGCTTGGTAGCTGTTGTTATAGGCAAATTCCACTAAAGGTAAGTGCTCGTCCCAGTTACTTTTGAGGTCCAACACGCACATACGTAACATGTCTTCCAACGTCTGGATTGTTCTTTCGAATTGCCCATCTGTTTGTGGATGATAAGTCGTGCTAAACTTCAGTGTAGTCCCCAAAGCTTCTTGCAATTTGTTCTAGAAGTGAGACATGAAGCGGGGGTCTCGGTCAGACACGATTGAAACTGGGATACCATGCAAACGAATAATTTCCTTGATGTATAAAGTGGCAAACTTATTAAGGGAGTACATGATTTTGATTGGAAAAAAATGTGCTGACTTCGTCAATCGGTCTACTATAACCCATATTGCATCATTCTTCAAAAATGACTGTGGTAGCCCAACCACGAAGTTCATAGTGATGTGTTCCTATTTCCATTCAGGAATAGGGAGTGGTTTCAGCAGTCCTGCAGGTCTCTGATGTTCTGCTTTAACATGCTGACAATGCAGACATTTAGAGACATGGCTTGTTATGTCTCTTTTCATTCCAGTCCACCAGTAGTGTTCTTTCAGATCCCGATACATCTTTGTGTTACTAGGGTGGACTGCAAATCTCGAGCTATGAGCTTTCACCAGTATCTTCTTCTTGAGTTCCGGAATGTCGAGTACGCAAATTCGATTTCGAAATTTTAGTACCCCATTGCTTATAGTGAAATCAGGATTAGACGTACTCCTTTGCTCCTCGTACTTTTTCTTCAAAAGTTTATCTTCCCATTAGCGCGCTGTAATTTCTTCAATCAATGTAGGTTCCATGGTTATGTTGGTAAGCAGTCCATTGATCTTGTGGAAAATGAGAGTACATGCCAAACTTCTGGTCTTCTTTCAGCTTAGTGTGTCTGCCACCCCGTTAGCTTTTCCTAGATGATGATGGATCTCTATATCATAGTCTTTCATAAATTCTAGCCACCGCCGTTGTCTCATATTCAGTTCCTTCTATGTGAACAGATATTTAAGACTCTTGTGATCAGTTTAAATCTCGCAGGTTGCACCGTAGAGATAATGACACCAGATTTTGAGGGCAAAGATCACCGCAGCCAATTCCAAATCATGAGTCGGGTAGTTCTTCTCACGAGTCTTTAATTGTCGCGAAGCATAAGCAATGACTTTTCCGTTTTACATGAGAATGCAACCCAAACCATTGTATAAGGCATCACTATAAATTATGAACCTATCTGCTCCTGTAGGGAGTGCTAGTATAGGGGCAGACACAAGTCAATTTTTTAATTCTTGAAAGCAACACTCATGTTTGTCAGTCCATTCAAAGGGTGCGTTTTTCTGAGTTAGCTGGGTCAAATGTGATGCTATTTTTGAGAAATCTTGCACAAAACGTCGGTAGTAGCCAGCTAGACCCAAGAAACTTCAGATTTCTGACACATTAGTAGGTCGTGGCCAGTCCACGATTGCTGCAACTTTTTGGAGGTCAACCGAGATGCCATCTTTGTTAATGACATGACTGAGAAAATGTACACTAGTGATCCAGAATTTACATTTCTTCAACTTGGCATAAAGTTTGTGATCACGTAGTGTTTGTAGAACCGTTCGTAAGTGCTGCTCATGCGCCTCTGGTGACTTGGAGTATATGAGGATGTCGTCAATGAAGACGATGATGAACTCATCAAGCACTACAACAAAACTGAGTTTTTTCGACTCCACATTAACGGCATATAGTAAATGCAAGCCGTGGTTTCTCACTTTTACGACTTGCTTTTTTTGCATGTCGTAAATAATTTCCTAACCACGGCATGTCTATTGCGTAGGCCGTAAATACTAATAATGATGCTTTTTTTACAGCTTGCAATGTTAGCCGTAAATAATAAAACTTTTTATGACGTGCATATGGCATGCCGTTAATACATCAACTATATACGACAAACATATACCAGCCGTTAAAATTATTGAATTTCACGGTGCACAAAAAGCCAGCCGTTAAAAATATTAACTTTTTACGATGCGCAAAAAGTTAGCCGTTAAAATGTACACTTTCCATGACACCCATATGCTAGCCGTTAAAAATATTTTATTTTTCATGACATGCAATTTTTGTCGTGAATAGTATGACCAAAATAAAAATAGGCGCTAAAATAAAAATTAGAGCGCTAATTACCAAACAAAAATATATTAAAATTTTGAGCTTTTACAAAATAACTCTTTTGCCTTCTAATTCGTCCAAACTGAAATGGAACATAGGGTTTCAATCCCTCTCTCTCTCTCTCTCTCTCTCTCTTTCTAATGATGATGATGAAGGCCGAATGAATTGTTGAGGGTTATTAGGCTCATCTCATCTCCTCTTCGGTTGTGAATCTGAATCAAAGGAAGGTTTCAATCTCTCTTTGGACACCCCTTCTTCTAGGTCTTCATCTTTATCTTGAACAGAACCAAAAAATCCCCATCTCTCTCTCACTCTCTGTTCTTCTTGAGCAGAACCAAAAAACGTTACCTAGAAAAACCCACTCTTTGTTCCCTTACATCCCTTACAACCCTTCAGGTTTCAATTTACAACTCACAAGGGGTAAGATTTGTATTCGATCGCTGTTGTACCGACACTGCTTCCTTCGAACTCGCAAGGTAATTTCGAGCCGCTGTTGTTGATTATGTTGTTTCTCTCTCCTCCTTCGAACTCAGCTGATGGCTCTTTTTGTTTTTTGCTATGTTGGGTTAGCATTCTTCTTTATACCATAGTTTTCCCCTAATATAATTGATTGATTTTGTGATCCCTCCTTGTTTTGTACAAGTTAGTTTATGAAATTTTTGACAGCTCACCGATTCTCCAGCATCAATCACCGCATAGCCCATCATCCAATTGTAATCTCTCATCTCCTCCCCCCTCTCTCTCTCTACTAATTACTCTCTTCATTTTCCTCTTCTCTCCTGAACCCATTTCCTCATATGGGTTTTTACTTTTTTTGGCCTTTCTCAAAGTTTTGTTTCGTTATATCAATCTTTTTGTTCTGAGTTATACATTCTAGGGATTTCACAGTTTCGAATCTGTTCGAAACTTGAAATCTTCACCTTGTATTCTTTATTTAGCTCTTTTCTATAATTTCTTTTTCTGGGTACCACCAAATTCACTCACTTTCCAATGGGTATTCTTTATTTAGCTCTTTTCTATAATTTCTCTTTCTGGGTATCGCCAAATTCACTCACTTTCCAATTGGTTTTGAGTTTCCATTCATCATATTAAAAAAGAAAAAAAATATATTTAAGTTAGAATTAGGTTCTGTTCTGATCTTGTGGAAACTGAGATTAATGGTTAACAGTTACAACACAATTGAATCATTTTAAGGTTCTCATAGTTTTTGACCAATTTTTATTGTTGATAAAAATTTGATCTCAGCCCTTTGTGTTCATGGTCATTTTGGAGCTTCTTGGAATTAATTCATTCTATTGTTAGACAAGTGTTTGGCTTGAAGAATTGAAGTAGGTTAGGATTGCAAAACATAGATGCATCAGGGGCATTGGTGTTTTAAGGGGCTTTCTAATTTGTTTACAATATGGGGAGGGTTAAGTTAAAGATAAAGAGATTAGAGAGCACTAGCAATCGACAAGTGACTTATTCGAAAAGAAGGAATGGAATCTTGAAGAAAGCTAAAGAATTATCCATATTATGTGACATTGACATTGTCCTTCTCATGTTTTCTCCAACTGGAAAGGCAACATTATTCCGCGGAGAGCGCAGGTATTTTCAAGTCTCTAATTGTGTCTATATAAAATGTTTGTGAAATTTGATGGATGGCATGACAAATTAAACAAAATTCACTACGATTTACGCGCACCATTTATCATTTCTTGAATTCATGTTTTTTTTGTTCAGCAACATTGAAGAGGTTATTACAAAATTCGCTCAACTGACACCACAAGAAAGGACAAAAAGGTCAGTAAAGCTATGCTAAATCTATGAGGACGAGGAGTTGTTTTTCTTTTTTTCTTTTTTTTGGTTAAATTTGAACTGCATTTGTCACAATGTCACTGAATAATTTTTATTTGAATGACCAGGAAGTTGGAGAGCCTTGAAGTAAGATTAATACTGCCCGTTCTGTAGTACACCAATTCATTCTTTCTTTCTCTGTTTTCATTAAATATGAAATGATAAGCATATCATATTTATTCAAGCCTTTTGGTGTTCTATTTGAGAATATAGGCACTGAAGAAAACCTTTAGGAAGTTGGACCATGATGTAAATATACATGACTTTTTGGGTTCAAGGTTTGTGTTTATTTTGATGAATCTTTTAAATCTCAAGGGATTAACCCTCGTGAAAGGCCTAATGTTATTTTTTTTTTTCTCCTTTCGCAGCACTCAATCAATTGAGGTTAGCCCTTTGCCACTGTTGTCACCGTAATGTTTTGAATTTGAGTTCTTCTTTTTTGACATCTTTTATTTAAATTGTTATGGACAGGAATTATCCAACCAATTGAGGATGATGCAAGCTCAACTTACAGATGCACACAAGAGACTGAGGTGCAACTTTGAAGCTCATATTTGTTAAAGTATTACCTTGTTTTTCCCCCTTTTTCTTTTTGGTCTTGTGAATCATAAAATTGGCATGATATAGTTCTGCCCCGAAAAGCCCAATCAATTAAATTTTGCAATATAATTTCATCTACGTTGTTTTGTTCTAGGTTAAGATAAACTTAATACAATGTTTATAGATATGGAGGCTTTGAACAATAGTCATTCTGTCTTTTACTTTTTTGTAGCTGGTAAATTAGTTCAAGTCAGTGATTTCCCCATCATGGTATAACAGTTACAGCTTTGTTTTGTTTTGCTTTAGTCACATTTCATATAGTCTGTTTCACAGTTTGTACATGTGCATAACTGTATCCCACGTTTTGTATCTGTATATTTTTTCTCATGCTCAAATGCTGTATAAGGAGAGCAATAAGTTCACAATTGGCATTGATAATACTGAATTTAAACTTTGTCACTATAATCTTCTTTTTAATGTTGTTTTTAAGTGTAATTATTTCACATATAATTTGGGTGAAGATATTGAAGAGGTTCATTTTATTGATCACAAATTCTGTATTGCATTTTCAAGGGGATATTGGTGAATTAGCTAATGGGTTGCAAACTTGTAGTAGTTTATATATATATATATATATATTTCTCTTTCAATTCAATGAAAATTCTAACTGTTGTCTTTTTACCTTGTTTGGCCTTGTTTTCCCTCCTAACTTCTGGCTTGAACTCTTGTTTGATGGTCATGTTGTATTTTTCACCATATGATATTCTGTGTTGTGCTCTGTTGATTCAGCTGCTGGAGTAATCCTGATAAGATTGACAACATTGAACATCTTAGCCAGATGGAAGAGTCGCTAAGGGAATCACTTAACCAAATTCGAATGCAAAAGGTACGATATTATAATAAACGATTGGGAGGGGTGACCGTTGGTTCAATGGTTAAGACTTGGCCTAATAATCTTGAGGTTATGGGTTCAAGTCTTGGGGCCACCACTTTGTGCATTATGCCAAAGGTTAGGTGTATACTCAATCTTTACTCTCTCAAACACACATTAATATGTACTAATTGGACGTTGTTTTTTTAATGTGATGACAAAAATTAAGAATGTCAATTGACTTCATTGAAATATGCCTTTTCTGCTGTCTTTGACGTACTGATGGCATTTCAGTGGGTGTGACCTAGTAAAGTAGTTTTCTTTTCTCATACTAAGAAGTATAGACACTTCTATGGAGGAGGCGTGTTGTTTCAAACACCAACGCTTCTAAAAGCGTGTTCGACCCTTCTTCAATGTGTCTTAATTAAAGGTCGGACAGTTTACAAGCACTTTGTGGACACTTTGGTGACATTTTCTGAATCCTACAAGCGCGACCTACGTGATGAATCTTTTCATAGTAACAATGTTCTGCATTTTTGCGGATTGCAACTTTGTGCACTCTAAATATGTTTTGAAACATTTACAAGATGAAGACATCATGTGTATTTCATTGTTAAATACAATTAATATGCATTCTTTAGAATGCAATTGTTATGTGAATTAAATTTTTATGTTTAAGTCGTGGAATATATGACTTTTAAAGTTTAATTATTGTTATGTTGCTTTTTTTCCCCATTACATTTGAATAAACTATTCATATGTTTGATATATAATAAATTTATAACCAAACCAAGCCTTTATAAAAATATAAATTTTTAACGTGTCCCAAGCGTATTGTGTCCTATATTTTTTGAAAGTCATCGTGTTGGCATGTCTTTGTCGTGTTGTGTTTCTGTGTCTATGCTAGTTAGTTTTCATGATAGCACTTTGCAAACCTCAACTTACATTGTACCACAGTCTTAATTGTAATACTAATTGATATTCCCACGTTTATATATCCTGGTTAGTGAATTAAATGATAATATACTAACATAACACTCCCATTTGATCTTGCGGGAAAATTTTGTGAAGCATCCTTTTATGTCACTCGAATGCACTAACCAGGTAATTAGTTGTTGAGCTGTTATAGAGCTCCTCTTTCTGCTCCGTGTGCGTGCATGCACGTTGTGTTCAGAAAATTCTAATGTAGACCAATCTTGCATTACAGTTCCAGAACGGGATGCATTTGCCTTTGATGATGGGTGGTATGCAGGATGCCCAACCACTATCGTGGTTTACCAATAATGAGAATCAACATATGATATTAACTGGTGAGCCAAACTATCTGCCTCAAAGGTGAGTGGACAGTTATAAATTATTATCTAAATTCAACATCACAAAATTGTCACATCTTAATATATTATTGGACTTCCCTTTGATGAAGAGTCTTTTATTCATTAGTCTTTATTGCTTGCGTATTCATAGTGACTCATTAGTTTTTATTGATTGTATATTTCTTTAAGTCTTCTATTAATCCGTTGGATGGCTATTACTTCTCTGCAGAGATATCGAGTGCTCCAATAATCCTTCCTTTTCAACTTTTTCTAGTTTCTTCAGCCCTCGCAAAACGGAGATTGAGAATACTAGACAAGTCGATGTCACGGGACAAGAAGGTGGTGCCTTGAATGAGTTAGATTACGCTGCATGCCTGAGATTGCAACTCAGAGAGCAGTATCCCTGCCAACCATATAGTAGTCTAGATTTACACGATGCAAAGAACTTGAAGCCTGAGACAGAGATGAACTTGCAAGGAGATGCCTTGGATTATCAAATCAATAGCAGTTTTCAACTGCCTAGAACTATCTATGACAACATGCATCACACTTGGGCACCTCCATCTGAGCATTCCACCATTTCCATGTTCAATGAGAACTCGTACTCACAGGTGAGCATTGTTTGCTTTGTTCCTTGTCCCCCTTTTTGTCAGCTTTGCTGGATTTCTTTATGAATTAGTTCATGTCATTTGTCTTCATTCCATGGAACTGTTTTTAAGTTTTGAGTAGTGCAATAATATGATAGAAGTGTGTAGATCTTAGCTGTGTTTGTGTCCTGTTTCCTTATGCTTGTGTTTAGATCAAGGATTTGAGTAAGTACTTATGGAGGGAGACAAAAAGGGAACGGAAAAGTGAAAATTTTAGCTTTGATTTCATACTTCTCCCATCATTTTTCCTTTCCCTTCACAAATCACTCTCCAAATCCTTGATCCAAACATAGCCTAGAACTTTCCATCTTGTTGGGTATTTAACTAGTCTATGTTTCATGCTTGTGTCCATTTGACAAAGCCTCATGCATCGACTTCTCTTCTCAACAGAAAAAGGCCATTTGGTGTACAGGGTGGGCCGACTGGCTAGAAAGCTAGCTTCTGGCTCTCTTTTGTTTTTTCCTCTTTTTCTTCATGATAGCTGGTAAATATAGATAAATCGACCTGTTAGTTGCTTGGCAATTTGATAATCCAGAATATGTTTCATGATTTTGTAGTTATCATTATGTTTTCTATTGGAGTATTTCACCTATTATAAAACCAGATGACTTGTGCTGCATGCATGTTCAGAGACAGCCACGTTGAACATGCCTACTGTCCATTTGGATGTTTTAGGACAAAAATGGGGTAGGCATTTTGAACCTACTCAACCATTCAGAGCTGGCTAGTTGCAACAACTTGGACAATCTCACTCATCAATAAGGGAGATTACACCACTTCTATAGTTGTTGAATTTGCATCGTCTTATCTGGCTCAATTCTTTTTTTTTTATTCGAACTACACCATGTGCATTCAGGTAATGAACATATTTCTAGGGTTGAAAAATGTCTCCCCGCAGCTTTCATTTGAACATCATGATTACTAAATTTGCTTCTTGTTCTTGCTTCTTTGGTGTTGGTCTTTTTTTTTTCTTTTTTTTTTTTTTTTTTGCCCCTCTTATTTTCCTTGATTGTTGATGAGAGTCGGCTCAAATATTTTGCTTAACTACTTAAAATTCAGCATATATGTTTTGATAATCTGAGCAGTTGACGAGTGGTTGAATTTGCTTTCTATTTGGTCTCGTAACATGGGTTTTCTTTGTTCTTTTTTTCTTTTTTTGTCGGGTTGCAGCAGCCACATTAATTTTCAGAAGTGATATTACTGTTTGTCAAGTTGCTGAGAATGGTAGCTGTTGGGCTCATGTTCATTGAGTTGCTGAGAATGGCAACTACTACTTGTTGATACAGAGTTCCATTTGCTCAACTACCGGATGAAGCCCGCAATTCACTTTCATTTTTTCCTTTCTTTTTTTTTCCTGACCCAATGAAGTTGGTGACATAGCACAAGGGATCAAGTAACTGTCGTTTGGTTTGTATGGTAAGCAAATCATTAGCTGTGTATAGTATATAAGGTATAAATCATACACCATTATAGTGTTATCCATGTATGTATTTATAGTTTCTTTTCTCGAGAAAATTACTTGTAATGGTTTTTGTTTCTTTTCTTGAGAAAGTTTGTCTACCCATCTGTAAATCTGACTCTTCAACACAAAAAGAAATTAAAGAAAACTAATTTCGTTTATTTTCTTGAGAAAGTTTTTGTCTACCCATCCATAAATCAAACTCTTCAACACAAAAAGTTGACTAATTTCTTTTCTTGGGAAATTTTTTGTCTACCCATACGTAAATCAAACTCTTCAACACAAAAAGAAAACTAATTTCACACACTTATCTGTTTTTAGTGGTTTTAATGAGATTGTGGTGGTAGAAATGATAAAATGTAATGCCATCTTAGCTTCCCTGTACACTGAATGTTGTTGCTTGTTTACAATGAAGCTCAAAATCAATCTCACCCAAAGCCATTTTGTTCATGTTTTACAAAATAAATGAAACAAGATTGTTTCCTTTTTTCCCTTCACATCCATTTAGTAACCTCTGATTGTTTGAATAATTGTGTTGTGCCATGGATCAGAGATGTGCTGCAAGAGGTTGTCAAATGGCCCTTTTCCAGTCACATTGTGCTGAACCACAAACCCCAAGAATGCCAACATTGCCAATCTCCCTGCATATGATTCACACAACATCTAGGGGTGAGAATTTTTGACATGACACAATAATACGATTTGATATATACATGAAGTTAGTGGATTAGGTTTGATATTTTTTAATACAAAAAAATATAATGCAACATGATAATACAAATATTAAATGGATCATCGAATCAGAATAATATGAAATTGAAATGGATAATTCTTGTAATAAGAAATTATTATATATTTTAATATTATTTTTACTAAAGAGTATCATGATTAATATTTTTGAATCTTTTATATAATTTTATCTAACTAAATAAAAGTATGTAATAGGATTTTAAGGTTAATATAGTTTTTTATTTTTTATTTTTTTATTTAGGATAATGTATTTCTTATCACCTATTTTGGAGTCAATCAAATAAATAAAATATAACAATAGACTATACCTATTTTATTTATTTATTTTTTAAATTGAAAAAGTGGCATTGAGTTAAAATCAAACATGCTTGTCTATAATTTCTTTTAGCTAACATTAGTTTCATTAAATTTAATTTGTGAGAATTTTTTTTCAAATTTGTCATATTTTTGTATTTTTAATTATGGGTGTAAAATTTTGACATTACACATAAACACTAAAATATACATACCGAAAAACATAACATGATAACAAGAAAAAATAAACGAATTGAGTTAGTATTAACATAATTTTGACATAAATTCAAAATGACATGACACAAACACGTCCCCTATTTGAACATTAGTCCAATTAAAATTGTCACTTAAAGTAAGGTCACGTGATATTTCAAGAACTTACCATTAGCGAGCTCCTTCTCTTTGGCCTCCTCAGTGGGAGCAAAGTTGAGGGGGTTAAAAATGCCACCAGGGTAGCCACACTCATTGGGAGGCAAGCTATAGCTCTTGAAGATAGGATCTTGGTTGACACTTCCAGGGTTCTTGATGTCTTGCCACCGTCTGATCTCCACGTAGTGAAACAAGATGAACTCGATCACGAAAAGTGTCGATGATGATGCAAAGTATTCGGATTTTCCTGCATCGTACCATTTTGGAACGTTGATTATTCCGACACTGCTCAACACTTCCGGCAGTAGCATTCCGGTGACACCCAACATGGCCCACCGACTGTTCACAAGCTCGGCCTGGATGAACCATTTCAAGTTCTCTGGGTCCTCGGCTAGCCCCAAGGGATCGAACCCATTGTCACCAGGTAGGCTGCATCATAATAATGAACCATTTGTGTTAGTGGTTGGCTTAGCACATCTATGGTTTTAAGGTTCGTCAATTGCTTTTTAGTAGGTTTTTTGTTGATTATTTTTTTCTTCCAATTTTAGTAAAATAGTTTAAAAACTTTTCACTTAAATTCTACTTAGACAAACCTGAAAAAGTTATAAATTTAAAAAAAAAAAAAAATTGTTAAGCATCTTATTTTGTAGATTTTTTTAGATTAGACGGATTTAAAAAAATAAAAAAAAATTAACACAAATCAAAGGGAAAAACAAAAACACTACTAAAGATGAAGTTCAAAATTTTTTGATTTTTATTTTTTCAATTGTTGCCAAAAAGGTTATCTAATATGAAACGATTAAGGCCTATTTTGAGAAGTTGGTTAAAAGTCACTTCTCTCTCTCACAAAAAAGTAAAAAAAAGAAAAAATTTAAAAAAACAGTTTTTAACCATCTTTCCAAAACACCCTAAGTTGATATATGATATATTGCTGATACCAATATGTACTGTGATATGGTTACATATAATTAGTTATACAAGTTAAGTCAACACAATTAGCCATATCATATGTCATTAAAGTATATTATATGCTTTTACTAGTAGAGTAGACATATACATTGTATTTGAATTTTCAAAAATATATTACCTGCCGTTAAGATAGCCTGGGGAGGCCAAGCCCGGTAACCATTCTCCTTTCTTGGCTTCAACTTTGAATGAGCTGAGTGAGGAAGGTGATGTCGGTTTAAATGAGATTACTCGGTTTAGCTTACCGGAAGAACCGGTAAGGAACCTCGATTTCGAGGCACATGGCCGAAGAACCGTGGTGGATGCCTGAGCTGCGACGGTGGCCATCCTTTTCCGACCAAATTCCGGGCAAGGAAAATTGGATGTTTTTATGAGGGAGTAGTGATATGGTTTGGTTGGCACAAAAATGTTATGTTTAATGTATGCTTTTGTATTTCAATTCTGTGGCATTCTTGTGGCTCTTCTCTTGTTTCTTGTTTGAAGGTGAGTTTTAGTTTGCTAGATTTTTGGGAATCCAACGGTTGTGATGAGTTTGTGAATTGTAGATCAGCCAATGGGAATCAATATCCCTTATCCTTATCTAGCTGCCATATCCATAGACCTATTTCTTTGTTGCTGCTGGTTAAAAAAAAAAACAGTGAGGGTAGGAATTCTAAATAATCTATCAAATTTTTTATTAAATTATTTCGTGTGGATTTGTATGAGTTCTACACTTATATAAGAGTTTTGATAAAAAATTTGATAAATCATTTGAGATCTATAATATTTTCCTAAAAAAAATCTTATGGAACCCTCTTTGCCACATAGGAAGATTTTATGCCATGTGGAATCTTTGATGTTAATTATTGACAAATGGTTTTGTCTAAGAATAAAGCTTTGGACCCCCAGTGGGGGTACTGGGGGTCACCTCCCATTGGTCCAAAAAAAAAATAGTTTTTTTTTTTTTTTTTTTTTTGAGTTTTCAGCCAACCCCAGGCCGACACGTGGCACTGGGGTCACTGGGGGTCATCCCCAGTGGGAGTCTGTAGCATTGCTGCTTTTTATAAGAATAGTATCCCAACTATTACTTTTGCTCATTTCACACATGACCTCCGATGATACTTTAACCGCCACCTCCGGCCACTCCATTTTTGATAATTCACTAATGTTGTGTTTGGTTGAGAAATTTGGAGATGAATTTGGAAAGGAAAAGGAAAAAGGTGTGTGAAACTATGTAAAATTTAAGTATATTTTATTCACGTTTCACCTACCATTTCCATTTTCATTTCTAAATCCCTCATCAAATCCCCAATACTGTGTTTGGTTGAGGAATTTGGGAAGAGATTTGGAAAGGATTAGAGAAAATGTGTGAAACTTGGTGAAATATAGGTATATTTTATTCATATTTTACCTAATTTTTCTCTTTTTCTTTCTCTTTTTCTCCTCAAATTCTCCAACCAAACATAATGTAAATATATTTTTGTATTTTTGTTTCCAAAACATTTTTATACACGAAACAATGGATTAGTTCGCTCGGGCAATTAGGACCTTGATGGCCACTCTTGTTGTAAAATTATTCCATGGCCCATATCCCATCGCCTGGCCCAAAGACCTGTTATGTCAACTATTACCTTTAAATCCAAAGAAGGAAAAATAGTGTCGGCCTTATTGTGTAATAATACATGATTCTCTATTCTTAAATTACTCTATGCCTCTATTTTAATGAATTTAAAACTATTACATCATGACTCCAAATTCAAATACTTTGAAATTTTCACTTGATCAACTTATTAAGAGTATATTAAGACAAATAAAAAGAGAAATTTGAAAAATCAAAAGTTTATTAGGCAATTACTTCAAGCTAACCCTAACTTGGGGGCTTTGCTTTTCTACAGTTTGAGATCAGCCCTATCAATATTTTTATCTCCATTTTTTTCTTTTTTTTTTAAATTCTCAATCCACAGTCATAGTTTAGATGGCCAAGTGCTTAAAAGACCCTCTTCTCTAATTTTTCTTGCACTTACTTGGGTCATGATGTTTATGTGTTAATTAGTTGTTTCCTTTTGTATTGAGAATGTATCAAAGATTATATTCGATAAAAAATGTTATACAAACAATTTTTTCTAACATTTTTTTTGTTCTTTTCCAAAAATTAATGTCATGCAATAATAAAGTTTTTATATTTGAAATAAGAGTTCGACACCTCTTTTGTTGGTGATCTAACTTGAAAGGTATTGTTACGCTTAGTGGGCTCATTTTCTAGTCTACTTCAAATGGTCTGAAGTGTTTAGAGTATCCATCTAAAAATTAGAATTGTTCAGATATTGGTATCTAAATAATTGAATTACATTTTCTTTTAAAAGGATAGACAGTCATTATTAAAATCATATTTACCATCCAATTTTATAGGACACATGTAATATGCACATGTAACCACCGATATTCGATCAAACTCAAATTTTTATATGAATTATCTTTTCTGCAAATCTTATCACATGAACGATTTAGATAATTGAAGCGTGCCCAAAATGAGCAGGTCCAACAATTTCCCTCTAGTTAGTGATCCAACTGGAGAGAAACCATCTCTCTGAAATAAAACCATTGGAATTAAATGGTAAGTACAACTTATTACAGCAACATCATCAACAACATAATATTTATATTAGATTGCCATGTGAGGACACCATCATATAGTGCACAAAAATTGGTTAGAGAGATGCTTATATAATTAAACAAACAACAAAACTTTTAGCAGTTTACAATTCTCATGTCATGCACACATGATTTCATTTAAAATCTATAAAAATAAATAAATAAAATTTTTGAATACAAGAGAATAAACAATTTATTTTAAATAATAATAAAAAAACACCAGAACATTAGTTCATCAACTCGAAATTGAGTCTCGCAATCTCCAAATCCAACATCCCATTCCCAACCCCTCCAAAAATAAAATTTTAAATAAATAAAAATGGCGGGTGGAGATCAAAGCCCATCACTGCCAAATCCAAAACCTCAATAGTCATCCAAATTGAAAATGACCAAAAGGGACCACCTGAAAACTAAGCCCTTCTCACTTTTGACTCCTCAAAACCAACTCTAAATACACTCATCTACAACTCTACTATTCCAAAGTAGTTCCTTCTATACTATTATGCATCAAACACAATTTTTTTTTAATCTTAAAATGCTCATTTTAGATCTAATCTAGCTATTTCAAACTTAATAACTGCTATGATTGATCTAACTGCTTCACACACGATTATTTAAACTGGGCACCACTAAAGGTTTGGCCGAACGACCAACTAGGCGGGGCAACATTGTTAGAGACAATAGTACGGCCATCACTGGTGGTGACCTTGAAAGAGAGGCTTTGACCATTGAGGTAAGTGTTGCTCTGCCAGTTCTGACCCCAATTTCTCGACATCGGTTGCCAACCGGTACTTGTTGACCCTTTGATCGAAACAGCTTGGATATCACCGGCGCCTCCGACATTGGTGATTAGGACTAGGTTGAAGTAAGAGTGGCCGTTGATTGTGAATCTGATGCCTCCCCTTTTCTTACATGCTACTCTGGAAATTGCAATTCAGATTGAAGACAAGTATAAATACACATGCACACATACTCACATGCGGATGTAACTGTTTTTGTACTTATTCATGTGTACACAAACAAACAAACAAACACATCTAATGTTGGAAAATGATTTGCAATTTTTCTACATGCACATAACCAAATCCTAGATACAAAAGAGTTGTGTCCAGTTTTGTGATCAGATTTTCAATTTTTCAATGATTTGTAAACATAAATTTTATACAAAAAGCCTACCAAATGTTAGAAATAAAAACATAAACATTTGATCACACACTCAGACATAACCGTCTTACGTGAAATGGGTCCAACACTGAAACAGTTATATCACATTAAGTAAAGTACCTGTACAATAAAATAAGAGCTCAAGAGTGCATACCTTCTGTAAGAAACAGGGATAATTCCAGCACTGTATTGAGCAATATGTTGGAAGACAGGCTGAGAGAGGTCAAAATGGTGTTGGGGAGGGTTGCACCACCCACCTGCATTGTTTGGGAGGGCAGTGTTTGGGGGGCAGAAGTTGGTGGCTGTGACCACTATAGAGCCAGAGAGGCACCACTTTGGGTCACCCACACACCTAATCTCAAAACAAGCCCCACAGCTCAACCCATTGTTGAACAGTGCTGTGCTCAAGGCTGCTGTGTTAGTCCCATATCCCTGGCTGTATAGGTTACCATACCCACATGCCCCACCTGCATCCACAAATCACAATAAACAATGATTGGTTATAGGAATTGGCAATATGGTTAAAGTACACCATCAGGCAAATCATGTTTAAGAGGATCATAGATCCAAAACAGTTCTTTTACCTGGACAAAAACCAATTACAAAATCTTTTCATTTGAGTGTGGGACCCATAAAAAGGTTATCCAATTATGTGTTCTTAGACTTTTCATCCCTATATGTCCATATTTCGAAATATTCACAATTATTTAATTTGTAGATGTTTTGGGATAGGGGAGAGACATTTGGGGATAGAAGATTCTTGAACTCTTAGAAATTTTTGTATTTCAAGATTCTTTCATGATCTAATAACTGGAGTGTGTTGAAACAAGAAAACATAGAAATTTAAAAAGAGAAGATTGTTAGCCTAGTAACAGGTATATTTTGTTGCATACATACCCATTGTGCCAGAACCATCACCACCTCCATAGAAAGTGGCATGAGCATCAATCCATCCCCCATCATACCCATGAACAATTGAGAACAGAGAGAGAAAGCCCACTATGGAAAACCAAACAAGAGACATTTTCCTGCACACGCACACAGCTAGTTGTCGTTAGCTAGTCTGCTTGGAATCACATTAACTTCAATCACTTGGAAATAAGAGAAAATGATACATTGAGACTGACCTCTAGAGAGAGAGAGAGAGAGAGAGAGAGAGAGGAAAGCGTGGGGATGAAGTTGTGAGGAAGGAGAGGGGGTGAGGTGGGAATTAAATAGATGGACGTGGAGTTGGGGGGAAGAAGAGGGCTTTGCCAAGGCCAATGTCACAGCTACTGACACTTTCTGAGCTGTGGGGACCTAAATCAGCCAGGTTTAAGCCGGGGCCGATCCTCAATTATTAGGGGTTAAGGCGAATTTTTTAAATTGAATCCTTCATGTATCATTATTTTAAAAAAAAATTGTTTGGATGAAACAAAAAGGATAAAAATTTATTTCTATTGCATTACAATTTAACAAAATTTAGATAACAAATATACACACACACACATATATATATATATATAAAATAGTTGAACTTCAATTAGTTAAATCGAATCTTTATTTTTTAGCTTACCAATGCTATAAGAATTAAAATTAATTTGGGATAAGGATGAGAATTTTCGACACAACTCAAGCAATATATAAAATTAGTAACTTAGGTTGACTATTTTTCAATATGAATCTAAGTATGACATGACTCAATAATACGAATTATTAATTATATATTTTAATGTTCACTAAGAGATGCCATGATATTTTTTTAATCTTTTATTTAACTCTATGTAACTGAATAAAAAAGTATGTAAAATAATAATTAAGGCTAATATCTTTTTTTCATTTAAGATATGTATGTTTTTGTTACCTATTTTAGAGTCAATCTAATAAAAAATATATAGTAATAAAGTATAATTTTTTTAATTAGAAAAATGCAATTGAATTAAAATCAAACATTCTATGAATAATTTCATTTAGTAGAAATAAATTTTAGAAAATTCAATTTATGGGAAAAATTTTAATCTCTTCATACACTTGCTAAATTATTTTTAACTAAAAGTAAAAGTTTTCACATTAAATATCAATCGGACACGAATGAAAATAACACCACACAACAACATGAAAATAAATGAATTGAACTAATATTAAAGTAATTATGAAATAACATGACATGATACACTCCCCTAATTAGATACCCTAAATTTTGTTTAAAATTGGGGCCCGAGGCGACCTCCTTAATGGCCTCACCTCAGGGCCGGCCCTGGTTTAAGTGGTTTTTCGTCTGTGCAAACTAGGCACATTTTGTTTCCTGCCACGTGATTTTACAACAATTTTTTTTTTAATATAATAGCCATATCGTCTTATTATTTGTTTTTTTAGTGATCGAGTGTTCAGATCAATTTACATGTATCTCGACTAATTCGAGAATCACATAAAGTGCCCCTTCCACGTGGATTACGTGGATCGAACAAATCTCGGGTAAAGCCCGCTAGCGTGGCTCCAAAGAGCAGAGTGCTCCTAACGGGAGTTAAACTGTGATCTAGAATAAACACTGCTAAGTCTCAAGTGGCACCCACTAGACTAACCGCTTGGGGTTGCAATATCATCGTATTGTTAAGAATTAATACACTTAATTTAAATTGATGAGATACGAAATACAAACAAAAATCAAATAACAAATTAAGTTAACCACATAACAATACAAAAATTTTACCATAAAATAGAGCAACTGTCGCCATGATTTATTTTAATCTAAAAAGAGTTACAGTATAGAGAGATGCAAAACTTCAAATATAAATAAGTAATATTAGGACACCACAGCAGAACTGAAAAATATCAAAAATACCTCTACACTATTCCAACACTTAGCTGGTATTATTAATCAACAAAAATCTGCAAATGGGATTTGATGAATTTGTTTTTTTTAATCTTATACTAATCTGATTAAGACAATATCCCTTCTAAAAAAATAAAAATAAAAAATCTGATTAAGACAATATAATTTTTTTTAAAAATTCATTAATAATATTGTTAAATAATATTACTATTATATTCAATACTTACTGTAATTTTTGCGGGCCAAGTCTTGAACCTTGCCCACCTCTTTCTCACTATGTCTTGAACTCTTAGAAATTTTTGTATTTCAAGATTCTTTCATGATCTAATAACTGGAGTGTGTTGAAACAAGAAAACATAGAAATTTAAAAAGAGAAGATTGTTAGCCTAGTAACAGGTATATTTTGTTGCATACATACCCATTGTGCCAGAACCATCACCACCTCCATAGAAAGTGGCATGAGCATCAATCCATCCCCCATCATACCCATGAACAATTGAGAACAGAGAGAGAAAGCCCACTATGGAAAACCAAACAAGAGACATTTTCCTGCACACGCACACAGCTAGTTGTCGTTAGCTAGTCTGCTTGGAATCACATTAACTTCAATCACTTGGAAATAAGAGAAAATGATACATTGAGACTGACCTCTAGAGAGAGAGAGAGAGAGAGAGAGAGAGAGAGAGATGCTTATATGTTGACAATACCAATAATATATCGAAACAATTTATCATATTACATCCTTAAAGGGAAGCGATTTTGGCACCTTTTTTTTTTTTTTTTCCCCTTCCTCTCTCCATATTTGTTCTTCTTCATTTTTTATTTTTTTTTTCTTTTCTTCTTCCACAAAAAAAAAAAAAAAAAAAAAAGAAAGAGAGAGGAGAGGAAAAAATTTTAAAAAAAATCAAGCACAAATCAAACACCCCCCCTTTTTTTTTCTTTTCTTCTTCCACATAATCAAAAAAAGAGTGAGGAGAGGAAAAATTTTAAAAAATCAAAAAACCAATACAAATCAACCCCAAAAATTAAACTCACAAATCAAACCCACAAGTGAGAGAAAGATACACAGAGAGAGATATATGAGAGAGAGAGAGAGAGATACAGATCAATACAGATCTATCTATATATACACACAGAGGATGGGCGATGATGGCGCCTGTGATAGCGATGATGGCCGGTGACGGCGCTTCTCTCTTCTTTTCTTCTCTCTTCATCTCTCTTTCTCTCTTCCTTTCTCTTCTCTCTTTCTCTCTTCCTCCCTCTGTTTCACATATAAAACAGGGGGGGGGGAAATCAAAACAACGTCGTTTTGAATTCGGGCCAATCAAGCCTTAGAAATTTTGAGCACTAAAGCATTTTTCTTTGACAAATATTTAGCATGTATTTTCTTATTACATATATAGTTCTACACAAACCTAAATCTAATTTAAATTATACTATACCAATTTTATATGAATTCTATTTGATTAATATTTCTTTTCCATATATTTTTCATCATAAATTGAGATAATCCACAAACTAGGGGTGGGCGCGGGTCGGTTGCGGCCACGGAACCTCCAATCCGCCATCCGTCCGCCACATTAGCGGATTGGAGAAAATCAATCCGCATCCGTCCGCCAATCCGGCGGATGTGGATCGAGCGGATTAGCGGTTTGGCGGATGAATGCAAATCGGTTTGGCGGTTTAAAATTTTATAAATTTTCAACATAATTCAACTTGTGCACTTCCTCAAAAAAAGAAGAAAAAGAAAGTATTACAGTTAATGACTTAAAAAAATATTACAATCACTGCATGCCTCATCTAAAGTAAGAAAATTTGAAACTTTAGAATATCACAATCACTGCATGCATTATCCACATACTACAATCACAGCATGCCTCATCCACATAAAGTATTACAATCTGTGTTCTTAAAATATAAAAATAATTCAAACCACCAAAATCATGAACAGAGCAGTAGTAGAGATTGTATGTCTCTGTATTGTTATATCTATATCTATTTTTTAAAACAAAAACTAACCAGCATGTATCATATTTTTTATTTTTTATTTTTAGAAGTAGATTAAAAAACAAAAAATATAGATAAATAATATGTTTATTTTTTTCAATTCAAAAAAGATATTCAAGTTAGAAACTTTTTTTCAACAGAATATTTAAACTCTTTTTTAATTGAAAATACAAACAGAATATTTAAACAAACTGAAAACACAAAATCTTATAAATTACTAGGGGTGTTTGCGGTTTGGCGGTTCGGTTGCGGCCAAAGGAATTTCAAATCCGCCATCCGTCCGCCAGATTGGCAGAGTGGAGAAAATGAATCCGCAACCGTCCGCTCGTCATCACACATCCGTCCAAAATGCGGCGGATCGGTTCGGTTCGGTCGGTTTTGGCGGATCGGTATATCCGCTGCTCACCCCTACCACAAACCTAATTCCAATTTTGGGTTTCACGTTTTTCTTCTAAATTCTTTCAAAAGTATTAGGATTTTTTTAATGCTAAATTATCTTCTTTTTATTCTTCTTATTTTCTCGTACATTATTCTATACTCAATATCAATTATATATTATAGATTTGTCGTCTAAATTTTATAGTGATTTTATGTAATCACAACTCAGAGGAGGAAAAATTTGCACAATAATAATACTCTCAAGGAACCGAATTTACTACTTGAATTACTTTTTCAATTGTTGAGCACTAAGTTTTTTATATTTTGACATCATATTACAGATGATTAATCACTTCACAGATTATGATATATCTATCGTTTGGTTGTTTTCATTATTTTTTCTTTTTAGGTTTAGATGCTATGTGATTCTTTCTTGGTTAATCATTGTTGAATTTCTTTTATATGGTTGATAATTTAATTTAATTAAAATTGTTTATTTTACAATCTTATAATTTAATATATATATATATATATATATATCATGTAAAATCATTATAGAATAATTACACTTTTATAGCACGATAGGATTAAAATTATCAAAATATACAAATAATTTAACTAAAATTGTTATACGTATATTGCACGGGTCAACTACTAATTTATTATAAAAAGAAGGGACACTTTTGAGAGTTGACTTTTCATTTTCTAAAGATAAACATGGTATGGTGATATGATTATTGATGTCTAATTAATTTAATTTTTTTTTAAGAATAATTAATTTAATGAGTTTTACAAAATAGATGATTCTGATTATTATGATTGGATAGGATGAGGCCATAACCGGAAAACTGGATAAGCTACTTTCTATGTGCTAACATACATTTTTAATATTATTTTATAATTTATTTTGTATATGTGGATTTCTCATACTTTGACTCATGCATCTTTGTTGTCAATGAGCAGGCTCAATTTTTGATGACTAGTTGATTTCCTTTTCTTTGCAGTTAAAAAATCAATTGATTGGTTAAAAATAAGTTTTAAAAAAAATGCTAGACAAGTTAATTTATCAGACGTATTTCTACTTCTTCTTTTTTTCTTTTTTTCTTTTTTTGGCTTTTTAAATCACCATTTAAAATGACAAAAGTAAACTTTTGAGTGAGTAATAAATTTTGGAAAAATAACAATCAGAAGAAGTTTGAAAAACAAAATTCAAAATAGTGGTAAAGTTTACAAATTTTAATAATTAAAATGTTAAATTTTTTCATGAAACTATAATTATTTTGCAAAGGTTCGATTGATGTGTAATTTTCTCATAAATTTTCCAAATAAATTAATACAATTAATTTTTTTTAAACTAATGAACTGGCTCTTAAACATTTATCAAATGAATTAAACTTAAAAGCACATAATCAATTGCACACAATTTTAAGACTCTTGAAATCTAGATCCTTTAGACCTACCATTCAGACTCACAATACCAATCCAATAGACACATTTTTTTGATTAATTAATTAATTTTTTTTTTTTAAGGGAGGCCAAAGGCCATTCACATTGCTTACTTAGGTTCACTCTCTCTCTCTCTCTCTCTCTTATCAAGTGTTTTCTCAAGTTGTTGATCCAATCATGAAATGATTTGCCTTAAAAAGTCAAACTATAAAACTATTAGATCCATTTGGATGCTTGTTGATGCAGAACAAGTACAATAATAACACTTTTTTATAAAAAAAATAAACATGATTGTTAGTAAAAAAAATTAATAGTCATGTACAAATTACGTACAATTCACCTTGGTGATATATAAGTAGTGCCAAATGGCATATATTTTATGTATATTTTCATCAATCCAACTTGGCTTTGGTCCATGTGGGAGTTAATGCTCAAAGGCCTTTTTATCAGTTTTAGAGCATAAAATGGACATATTCAAAATATTGATTAAATTGTGTTTTATGACCAAAAATAATAATAAAAGTAATTGTTTGGAAATTGATTTTTTAAGAAAAATAAATTAATTTTTTGATTAAAATATGTTGTTCTCAAACGAGACGTGAGTTTTATATGTTAAGAATTTATTAATTTAGTGAGTATAGATGCTTCAATAAATATTTTAATAGAGAAATTTTGAATTTTTTTGTGTGCCTTTAACAACAACCTAACTAGTTTAATGGTTGAATTGCATCTAACTATATATAAATGAAAAATTCTATTATATATAGTAAGAGTGGGTCTCACCCATGTGAACCAGCCCCTCCCTTGGGTTTGCTAACTGACTTGCAACAGTTAGCAAGTGATTTAATTATTGACATATTTAACAAAGTTTGTTAACATGTCCATCGGAGACCAAAACTACCGATTTTCTGTTAACTAATTTACCAACTGACTCTAACCCTCTTCCTAACATCTCCACCTTATACGATTCAAAATCAGGTTTTAATTGTAATTCCATCATTTCAAAATAATTTTTTCATCACTTGAGTTTATAATTTCAAAAACAAAAAGATTATAATATATAAATAGAAAATGTACATAAAATGGTGTAATGAGTTGTGGGCAGGGGTGCAACTTGGGCGGACTCAACCTGAGCAACCCAAATTTAGTCTGAATTTTTTTAGGACTTGGACAAAATATTTTTAAATTCGGTACGAGTTTGAGCAAAAATTCAGTAGCCCGAATTAAATTTGGACGAGCTTGGGCAAAGACGTCAAACAATCCAAGTAATCCGAAACCCGAATTATACATATATAGAAATTTAAAAAATATAAAAAATATATATATAAATATAAATTATTAGTCATTACATGATATTAAAGTAATTTAGATTTTTAAATCATATTGAATATATATTATATATACAAATAACATAAAATCTTATTTTTTTTTTATTTTCACTCATAAATTGTAAAGATTATTATAGCGGCATCTCTCTTACATTATATAAATTATTTGTTTTGATGGTATTAATGATTTTCTATTAAAAAAATATAAATATAGTCAAATTTTAATAATTTAATAATGTAGTTGCAAAAAAAAAAATTGAAATTTATTTACAATTCGGGCAAGTCGGGGTAATTCAGGTTTAACTCGAGTCGGGCTTAGGCAAGCAATCTTGGGTTACAATTTGGGCCTAGACAGGTTTCAGCACAACTTGGATTGGGCATGAATAACCTCCCAACCTAATCGAATCCGCCTAAATTGCATCCCTAGATGTTGGTCTGATCACTTTAAAACTTAAAATTTGTCGAGATCTATTTTATTTATAAAAATGCCACTGTCATTTTATTTTGATAAGTAA